GTCTCTCATTGGAGTAAATATTTTAGTCCATTGTATCAAAGATCCTTACCCATTAGAATAAAAAGATACTTTTTCACCTTCAGTGATTTTCAAGCATAGTAGAGCAAAATGTGTACCTACGTAAACAAACTAGAAGATGGTGCAAGACACACGGCGTGAGAAGAGGCGGTCGGGAACCGAAGTTCTGCACCCGTGGGGAGCGCCACCAGGACGCCCGGGGTGCACAGCCAGGCTGCAGAAGACAGGCAGGGTGGCCAGGTTGCAAGCCGGGGTGTGCGTGTACTGCGCTGCACGGCAAGTTGAATGGAAAACAGGAAAAGGAAGAGAGAAGACAATATTTTAATTAATGAGACAGCGAAACTCTAGACACATCACGATGTATTTGGATTTTGCACTTTCTGACTTAAACTTAATATGCTATTTTATTTGTTACATGCAAGGTATAGTAGAAGAATGTGGAGATTTTAAAAATAGTCATTATGGTACCAGACATTTTACCATGAACTTCCCTCAAAGTAGTCCTGCCTTGCTTTGCATCTGCTTGTGCCATCCTTCTTGGCATTTTCTGGAGCAAATCTGGATACTTTTAAAAGTGTCGTTAGTTGCCTCATGGGGGCTGTCACGGTGTCCTAAACTGATTGAGAACATTTACCTCTCACGCCCTGCAGGATCTGTGAATGAGGTGGAGAGGATGCACACCATGCGTGTATTTATTTTATATTTATAGTAAAAGACACAATGCCAGTAATCCCTCTAGAAGCACTGGAATACCTCCCCACACTTGGAGCACAACCCATACTTATGACAATGTGTCTTTTGCTACAATAACTTTAAAAAATGGAAACATTCACTGTGCTTTTTCAGTCATAGCTCATGTGTTTATTTCTGAGGAAACATTAGCATTCAAAGGTGCCTGCAGACACATGCTAATCTTAGCTGATATTTAAAAAGTTTCATTTGACATGTTGAATGACCTAAGTTGTGCTCAGTCAGTACACAGAGTCCAATAAACCACTGAAGGTTTTCACTGAATGAGGTACATACGAGCCTCTCATATTGACCTTTTCATAGTCTAATGTTAAATTATGTACATCTACTCTCAGTAGAGTGTAAATTATGTTTATTTAAATCTGAATTGAAGGTTTCTGAAGATGCTAAATAAGTTCCTTTGATTGCTTCAGGTCACTGATATGATGCTTCAGGACAAAACTTATCCAGATTGGGGAAAATCTGCAAGGGCTTTTTGGAAGAAAGGAAAAGTGAGAATCATTTTATTCTGGTAAGAAATATTTCGTTTATTGCTGCCTTGCCTTATTCACTGAAAGACTTGAGTTAGATGTAATTTTTCTCAGATGTATAGATTTCTACCTAGAGATGTTTCATATAATCATCTTATTTATGAATGTTTCTCCTCACATATTATTGCATGTATATCCTATAATCAAAGATAATCTCGTATCTTTTTGCATTTTAAGACAATGTTTTCTAATACAGTGATGTGCTGTTTGACTAGAAATAAATTTTCTTTTTTTTTTTCTGAGCAGAATATATTTCCTGAGGTAAAGAAAGCTCCCGTCTGAGAGAGGGACAGGAGGGGGGCCTGAGCAGGTAGCTCCCCAGGACAGAAATACATTTTCAATCCAGGAAAAATAGACTGGTCAGAGGAAGCAGTACTTCACTGGGATTATGGGCATGTGCCACCATGCCTGGTTTCAGTGGTCAGCACGGTGTGAGGTCAGCACAGCATGTGGTACTGGGGATCGAACCCCGGTCCTTGCACTTGCCAGGTTGGTGCTTAGCCCACTGAGCTATGTCTCCAGCCTGGCATGTTTTATTTACATTCTTTCTTTTTGTGCTTTGGCACTATCCTTGTAATTAAAAATGATACATGTCTCATAGGAATTCATGTTTGGTGGGACACCATTATTTACATGTATTTGAACATGTTAACATAGAAAGGATGGAAATGTAGAATTGCAAGAAAGCTGGGTGCATCTGACAGTGGGGCATCCTGCTAGCACGGTGGTCGTACAAAGAAGTTACATAAGCTAGTGCTCAGAAACACTGTAATTTATGATAGTTTATGCTGGAAAATTTCAGCCCATGCACCTGCCTTTTGGAAGGAAAGGAGAAAAAAATCTGTATTTTTGGATTTAACTCTGGACTTTTTTCAATATGAAAACTACAAAAATCACTATAAATATGCATTTGAAGGAAAACAATCGATGTTATGCTTGGTGTGTCAGCGCAGCTGTTAAGCGTTACTAGTGGTCTGTGACATCTTAAACACACTTCTTAGATAAAGAAATGTTGGACTTTGGAAGTATGAAAATGGATATGGTCTTGTAGCTGTTTATTCATGCCTTGTCTGTATGAGACAAGTGTAGCCAAATTTATTGTGTGGTTTAACCTCTGTATACTTTTCTGCATTCCCTCATATAGCATGTTGAAAAAATATAGTAATTATCGCAAATATATATTGAAGGTACATTTTGCTACAAACACAGGACCTTGCAGCATATGCATCTACTCATTTAATCCTAACAATCTTGTGAGGCAGGTACTTTATTACAGGCCTAGGTCTCTGACAAATCTGTCATTGTAGTTTGCACCCTGTGGGAGAATGAAGGATATATAAATTAGTGTTATGGTTTGTGTGTATTTGTCCTCCCAGATCCTCATGCAGTCATAAGGCAGACTTCTAGAGTTTATGTTTAGATCATGACCCACTGGGATTATGGATGTGAGTGCTGCTGGGATTATGGGTGTGAGTCCTACTCCCAGCCTGGAGTAGATGGATAGCCTGAATGTCATTTAAGGGAGATAGCCTTCCTTTCTGTAGCCATTGTTGCCACTGTTCCTCTCATGTGCTCTTGCTCTTCTACCACCATGAACTGCTGCCCTCTGCCGTGTGCCAGTCTGCATTGGAGCCACCTTTGTGTGGACTCAACCCTCCAATAACTGTGAGCTAAATTAACCTTTCCTTCCTTCATTCTGGGTGTCCAGTATTTGTCCCAGCAATGAAAGAAGAGCAACTGAGACACAATTTGGTACTGTAGGGGGTCATTGCTGTGGCTAAACCTGACCATGTGGAATACAAGCTTTTGGGAATGGCTTATGGGAAGAGAGCAAAGGTTTGCAGAGGTCGTCCATTAGTGAAGAGCTGGAATGCCTTCAGCTCTTCTGTAGGGGAGATTCTGAAGACCAGAAGGCTGATAGCAATCCTGCCTATAAAGACCAGGCTGGGGAGGTTTCTTCTGGGAAGAAGGACTGCACTGTTGTTGAACTCCACATGATTTGTGCTATGGCTTGGCAGAAAGCCTGTTTGAATTTTGCTCATGTCCAGAGACTTTGCTTGAGACTGAGATTAAGTATGGTAGACTGAATAATCTTTCAAAAGACATTTCAAAGTAGCCAAATATTGAGGGAGTGGCATGGCTATTGTTGGGGGCTTTAACCAGATTTATGTTGAGAATCAAGAGCAAAGAGCCCAGCAGGATGATTTTAAATGTTTTGAGTATGGCCACAAAGTAAGCTCTAATAAAGCTGTGGAATGCAAAGATAGAGCTGAGAGGATCTCCACTGCCAGGAAGGAACAGGAGAATCAAAAGGATGGCTTGAGGGCATCTCAGGGGGCAGAAGGTCTTCACCCTTTGCAGTCTCCAAATTGTAAAGGTCAAGGACTTTGCCTTGAGGGGAAAGCCACTGAGCTCCATGTTCCAGAATGGTGGCAGGGGCCACATCAGGTTCTAGAATGGTGCCAGCATGGAGAATTTATTTCTCAGAATCAGGGTCAGAGTGCTCAGCGATCCAGGCACTTGACCCCTGTAGGCAAGAGAGAAGGAAGCCTGGCTACTGCTCCAGCTGGCAGCAGCCCTTGGCATCATCCATGTGGCACTGGTTTTAGGCGCATTCAGATTGCAGGAGTTCTGAGGTTAAGAAGTCTTCCACCTCGATTTCAGAAGAAGGCCTGGGAGGCCAGGCAGTGTGCTCCTGAGAGGGCACTGTGTGAAGCTGTGAGTGAGAAGCCTATTCAATGGAAACCCCAGAAGACTGGAAAATCCAGGAATGTGGATCATCTAAGGGAAACTGCAAAGAGGAAGTGAAGCTGGCCTAAGAAAGATGCCATGGGACCTACCACCAACAGTGCCATAGGAGTTGAACCACATGGAGCTCACAATTTATCACAGATTACTTCAGATGTTCCACAAGGACCTACAGGATTTAATGTTTGTCCTTCTGGATTTTGGACTTGCTTTGGTTCCAGTGCTTGGTATCTTGCTGTGTGTACCTTTTGGAATGGTAATGCTTATCTTGTGCCTTTGAATGTTAGAAGTATTTAAATTTTCATTTGTACAGGGGCTCACAGCTAAGAGTTTGCTTTAGATCTTGGAGGAGACTTGAGACTTGGACTTTTCAGCAATGCTGTAACTGTTGGGACTTTGCCAACTCTTAGAGATGGACTAAAATGCCTTTTGCATAAAGGGATGTGCATGAGTCTTTGAGGGTCCAGGGGTGGAATGTTAAGGTTTGTGTCTAGTTGTCCCCCCCCCAAATCATCATGCAATCATGGGGCAAACTGCTAGAGTTTGTGATTAACTCATGATCCACTGGGATTATGGGTCTTAGTACTGCTGGGATTATGGGTACGAATACTACTCCCAGCCTGGGGCGGATAGACTGAATGTAACTTAAGGGAGCCAGACTTCCCTTCTGTAGCCGTTGTTGCCACTCCTCCTCCCAAGTGCTCTTGCGCTTCCACTGCCATGGACTGCTGCCCACTGCCATGTGCCAGTCTGCCTTGGAACCAGGTGTGTATGGACTGAAACCTCCAGTAACTGGGTTCAGTTAACATTTCTTTCCTTCATTTTGGGTGTCTGGTATTTGCCCCAGCAACAAGAGAAGAGAAACTAAGATCATTGGTATGCACATTATCAAATGCTTATCTTTAATTCTTCTTTAGCTGATTGTGCTAAATAAGAACATCCAATTCTATGAAACTTCCCACCCTGTAGAACTCTCTTCCGGGGAGCTGAGGGTTGTAACTAGGAGGGAGATGTCTGAAGTGTTATGAACTAGCTTTCGAAACAACAGCCTCTTGCTGTGTGTACACACACTTGGCACTAGTTAAGGTGTGCTCAGGATCAGCCGACTGATGGGTGCCAGGTCCCGATTTGCACGCATGATTTGCAGAGGGGAGCCCTGCCTGTGGAACTCTGAATGCCCGTGATTGTTACTAGCCGTGCTTGCTCACAGTTGCTTCATAAGAGAGTCCATGCTAGACGTTTTTCCTTCGGCATCTTAGTATAATTTTCCTTGTCATTCTGGTTCTCCAACAATCTCTTTTATACAAATGGGTTAACTTTGGCATATGTTGTATGAAACATAATTAGACATTTTAAAAATAATAATTGAGCTGGGCATGGTGGTGCAGGCCTGTTATCTCAGCACTTAGGAAGCTGAGACAGCAAGATTGACATGAGTTTGAGGCTAACCTGAGCTACATAGTGAGTTCAAGGCCATCCTGGACCACATAGCAAGCCCATACCTCAAAATACCGCCCCCCCCCAAAAAAAAGGATAGTTTAAATATGGTCACTGGCAAATAGGTAATATGCTTAAATGAAGAGGGCTCCAAAGCTCACGTTGAAGCTCGTACTCATTGTTCCTGTAAAATCCCTAATGACTAGATAATGTACTTGAGAGGGTCTCTTTTTTACTATTACTATTGAAAAGGAGTTCTTGAATCACATCAAGTAGAAAATAACTGATTTAAATTTTTAAATGCCACTTTAAAATGTTTCTATTTTACTCATTTTTTTACAGTTACATTATCTTAACGACGCTATTCACAGTTTTTAAAAAGGAAAATCTAATGGAAAAAGTTGAATATAGAAATCATGTAGGGAGCCAAAAGATCTTCCTTTCTGTTCATGCTTCTCAGATAAAAGGGATTTAGTGAGCATGAGGGGCGTTTGTTTTTCTTTTTAGCTTTAGGAGATAAAATACAGACAGCATTGGCAAGATCTTAAATAAGAGTATTTGCATACTATGCTTCACCCTCTCACACAGTGGTATTTTGACTCTGCTCTAGTTAAAGAAAGATTAGTGTAAAAATTGGTGGCAGAGGAGAAACTTCGGCGAAGGACACCTTCACAAATTTCAGGGTGATTGTGTACAGTAGTTTGAACAAAGTGATTTTTTCTAGTGAACTTCCCTTTAGTCCTCGTGTCTGCTGTGCTCACAAATGCCCGCAAGGAGCTCTGTGCCTTGGAGCCAT